GTCGACGACGTACTTATCTCTACAGTTGGCAGCATTTCAAGCCGCGACTTTTAGCACGTACTTATGGTCTCTGAAGCGTCGGATTAATCATGTGACATGCATTGATTTGTCGTAGGGAAAGGTTCCCAAGACCACATTCACTCACTCCTCTTCTCTCACACGCGACAGTGGTCTGTCTGAGCCACTCGGTAAACCCAGGATCAGAGAAACCATTGGCGCACTTGATATGCATCAGTTCGCATCTGACACATACACACGATATAGGCAACACACATTTACGGCCGTAGTCAAGAGTTTACAGAGACCCGTGAAAACGAGAAAAACGCATGCCACATGTCATTTTGGTCCCCGTTATGGTCCAGCTTAACTGCGGCACAGACCGTGTAGGGAGAATTTCATAAGGATCAAACAAAGAAACCATTACAGTCTGAACCTCGGTGCCGAGGAAGAACGACTTATTCCGTCAATTGGCAAACTTCTGGGCCAAGTGTATTAGTGTGTCGTTATAGCTGCAGGGCACGTTTGGATCCAGCCTTCATCTTCCGCTTCCATATCTCAGTGATTTTCCAGAATCAAGCCGATTGGTAATGAGATGAAGCGCAGTGGTCAGAGTGACGTAAGTCGCCGTCTAACGCACATCAAGCACGGGGTATCTAATTTCATTTTAATGTTACAACTAAAAAGGCAGATGCGTCGGATACAGTTAAAATTTGGAAAGGCCTTAGTGAAAGCTTGGAAAGTTGTAATGCCTCACCCAAGAAAATTGAACGAACGTCAAATATTGAGTGAGTTATGCAAAGCTATCGACTTTTGGCGGTGTCCCAACAGTCCGACTAAATTAAATCCGCCAACTGTAAAATTAAAGACTGTGAGTGTGGATCCCATGGCAAGCAATCAAAGTCGCGTGTAAATGAGTGTGCTGCAGTCTGGAGCACAACAGCGTGGATTAATGCGGCGTCCTGTAAAATACAAAATCGCCTCGAAATCAGTAACTAGAATTAATCGACTTATAAGGCGCTTCAGGTTATAAGGCGCGTTGCCGTTTTTCGAGAAAATTAAACGCTTTTAAGTGCGCCTTATATTCCGTGAAATACAGTATCTGTTTGTGGGTTAGATAATCCGACAGAAACTATAGCTAACTTCCAACCCCATTATCAGAGTTGAAGGCTGCTAATCAGCCAGCCCTAATAAACAGGAATAACAGGATGAAAACGGTCAAGAGATGACCGTGGTATAAATAAGGAAAACAAATAGCGGTACTGCCGTGTCTCATAATCCTGAAACATATCAAGACACAACAATCAGAGCTTAGCCTTAATTACTTGAATGTCTATGTCAGCTTAACCACGCCGTTTGTAAAAGGGGAATTATAGGCGAGATCAAGGGCAGCCTGAAAAAGACACAGGAAGATTTTTTGTGCCCGCGTCCGCCTCCAGTGGTCTATGAGGGAGAGAGAGGAGAGATGATGTGCAAGTCTGCTATCACTATCAAGTAAGTCATGCGCAAGCCATCGCCCGTCGTCCACCGCACTGTCGGACACACGACAGGCGTCGTCGTCAATGACGATCGAACTGTCAGGAAGATAGTTAGGACAGAAGATCGATGGATTTAACGGGTTCAGGCAGAGCAGAGGAGCAGAGGACGAAGGCGGAATTTTCCAAGGACTAGACTTTACACCAAATACAATTTACAGCAGAGCCAAACTGCGACTCGAGTTCACAGAAGAGAACTCGGAACTATCTTTACTGATAAGCATTTGCACCAAATCTGAAATTATTTAAATATTCCTCAAAAAGGGGCTTCAGAACCAGTCGGCAGGTGTTCGACGCTCAAAGACCAACTTATCTGGTCTTTGGACGCAGGCAAAATAAGACGATTGTTTTTAACAAACAAGTGTGAGCCAGAGGAAATAAAACTCACACCGATCACCAAAGAATTCGAAGATGAATTTTTTCATCTCCATGAAGCCCAGACGGATGATTGCAGCCTTCGTATTGTCACCGTAGCCGAGGCCCTGCGCGAGGCCAGCACCAACAGCAACAATATTTTTAAGGGCTCCACATAATTCGGCACCCACTTCGTCTTTGATCACCGAAACACGGAAATAAGGGGTCTATGGGTGAAAGATATGCGATTTAAACTGGGGTTATAAGTACCAGTCATCATTGCCTGCTAGCAACAAGTGAAATAAGATGTCATCAATAGTAAAAACCAGCCTCATCTCCACCTACCGAAGGGTGAGCATGTGCTGACTTTCCAGCGCAAATACAGAATTCGAAAAGGTAACTGAGAACAGAAAACGTCACTGGTTCCAGCAAAACACAATTTTTATTACTTCCGCGCGAGAACACGACTATGTAAGTTTGTAGCAACCATCTAGCCTACCTCAGGATATACAATCCCTTAACCGCTCTGGTAGTCAAATGGTTGCGATTTTTTGGTCCGACCGCCACTAACCATACATCGTGCATTTACGTTATTTCTAGATCAGAGGGCAAAATGGCTAGCATATAGGCTTACTGTCTCAAAGCGCCATGGCTAAACATTAAGGTTAAGAAGGAGAAGAAGATGCGATAGCTGGAACAAGAAGTTTATTGGCCTCACGTTTCGGATTCTCATCCGCAACCATCATCAGAGGCAGGCGCAGGCAAGGGCTTAAGATTTAAGGTTTTATGAATGACGTATACATCGGTTTACGCTCGGGATACAAAGGAAACAACAACCGGTTGACACAAGAACTTTGTGAGTCAGCAGTCCCCGCAAGCTTGGTGTGAAATAACTCCTAGTAGGGTTCCTGGGCCA